CATTTTACTTGTATTAACAAGATTAAGAACTGATCAAATTTTCATGAAGGCAGGTCTAGCGGTTTCGGAGATCTAATAAAAAAAGTAAAAAATCTGTCGGTCAAAAATGATCATTAGACATAAGCACATGAAATTATCAGATATTTTATAGAGATTTTAACAATAAGTATAAATTTTGTTTACATTCTTATGGGTTCCGTACCAATCCTTATCCGTTAGACTGCGGCGCGGCTCTTACACGCTTCTATATTTCGTCTCTATGCAGTTAAAGCAGCACGATTGCTTTGAAAAAAAGTTCAGAATTTCCAAAATATTTCAAAATACACTTTTCTTCAAAAAAAGTAAATTTTTATCAAAATTTATAGTTTCTCAAAAATCTAATTTTTCAACTGGTATATATGCGTTTATTCTTTTCAAAGTGCTGCAGTAGATTTTAAATCATTGTCATAGAATATTGTCATTTCTTCATGTCAGCAGCAATAAAGTATATTTTATAAGCCTGGAAATAAAATTTGAAAAACTCTGCTTGAGTGCAACATTCCTAGTATTCGCTAGCGCAAAGTCATCGCCTTAACGATACTAAAACATGCAAGAACCAAGAACATTAAACTAGCGCCGTATTCACAAGAATTCGCTAAATAATATCTCTGACACAGATGAACAGCGTATTATTACAGAATATAACGACGGGGAAATATGCTAAAATAATTAATATTTATATGGTGCTGAATAAAACATTTTTCATAATATGTCTGCGCATATTTAAATTGGATTCTTGAGTATTAAAATTGTGTTTAAAATGCGTAAACCAGCAGCAGAATGGTAATATTCTATTTTAATTGTAAACAACGGAACTCTTTTTTTACTTTGATTTGAAAATTTGACCTATTGATTATATTTCAATTTTGTTATACAGGGTGTCTTAGAACTTAACGTCAAGCCGAAACGAGATTATAGTATTGACTTTAACTCTCCTGACAAAAGAATTAAACTAGTGGTTTATGGCCTTGAGGCAAATTGCTGGAACTTTCCGAACCGAATTCAAATTTTGAAAATCCGAACTATTTTCGACATTCAAAAAATTTTTTTTTGGAAATTAAAAAACAAATTGAAATAACATTTTTTCTCTTTCCCAAAAACAATCGTTTCGTCAACACCAGCAAAAAGATTTGGAAATGTTCCATTAGGTTGCTTATTAAAACACTGTCATTTTTTGCACATTTTGCTCCGTAACTCCGAAACGGCTGGACCTGCTTTGGCCAAAAATTAACCACCACTTCTCCTCATCATCACGAATTATATGTTTTTTTGGAAGTTAAAAAAATATTTAACGTTTTTTGGAAATTAAGCTTTTAAGTGCAATCTAGAGCCTTGATGAAATTATGGTCATTTCTGGGTGGTTAATTTTAATCAATTTTGTGCATGTAAGCTTTGGATCTGTAAGAGCGAATAACAATTCTAGGACCACGTCAAAAAATTATGATACAATTGTCCTAAATTTCTGAGAATTAAGACTTTTTGTTAAACTCTAAATTTATAATTTTTAAAATCGATCGACTTTGAGTGGCCCTCCTTAAAAAAATTTGCTAAAATCTGTTTTATGAAATTCTGGCGCATTTAATCAGGATGATAAAATAGAAAAATACTTGATAACTTTATTTTTGAAAATTTTTGAATATGAAAATAAAAACCATAAAATGCTCAATTAGAGAACAGATTTTATTAGCGTTTTATTATTCCATAATTAATCTGTTCAGCTGTAGTGATTTGAAAACTATTGATATATTAGACATAACTAGGTAGCTCATGATTAATTAGCTCTCAAATCTGGCTTTAGCTCTGAATTTATTGATTTTGGTTAAAAGTTTTTACCATGCTTATTAAGTTGCACATCGCAGTTAAAATTTGGCCCACCTTCTTTTCTTGCCATTGGTAATCTTTTTTTTTATCTTGAGGCGTAGCGTTTAATTGATTTTTTGCTTGAAGTTTTTATTAATACGAGATAATCCAGTTATTCATTCCTGAATAATATTCCGTATTGATATCATTATATTATAAAATTATTCAGATGAAGGTAATTGGTGAAACTTATACTAATCTATTCAGTTTTTTTTTGGGGGGGGGGGAAAACACAAAAAACATACTCTGTCATGAATTATATTTTTGAACCACAGATATTTTTAAGTCATTAATTTTACGGCAAATTTTGAACGAGCATTTGACCATACTCATTATATCATCGGTTTTTTATGTTTAATTATATGTACATCTTTTTAGATATTCTGAAATTATTACTGTTTTTGTGGTTAGAAATTGAATAACGAAAATTTACATTAATAACATTGAGAAAATTTGATACAAAATTTGTCAATCATTTGCTCCATTTAAAAATGCTTTATCTAATTTATAAACTGTATTATAAAAATGTAAAATCCTTTTCTCTATTATATTGTATTTGAGAAATTTTATAATGCATTAAATTTATTAAATTTACATCGAAGTATTTGTCAAAGTTTTGGTTGCATACATTAATATCACTAGTGTTGTAGTTACTAGACATACTATAGTCTCTATTTTGTATTGTTTATTGACAGTTGTTCCGGGGATTCTAATAATATATATACATTTATACATACATATATATATATATATATATATATATATATATATTATATATACATATGTGCATAATATAAAAAAATGTTATTAGATTCGATAAACCATTGCATGTAGAGATCGTCAGAGTATCATCCGACATTTATGTCACATTTGTTGCAGCTTGTCATGTTGTGTGCAGTGACATTTCAAATGGAACACCTCGACATATTCATACCTATATATAATACATAATATATATATACACACACAAGCGTGATTCCTCGACAACTAAAATTGTCAGTATAGTCAAAAACTAGCTGTAAGTGGAATTCTGTCTTAAGGCAATTAGGGCATCGTGCCTTAAGGCAAATTGCTGGAACTTCCCGTACCAAAAATTATTATTTTTTTTAAAAACGATTAACATTTTTGAAAAAATTTTACTTTGAAAAAATAAGATTTTTGAGAAACTAAATTGGACAAAAAATTACTTTTTTTTGAAAAAAAAAATTTTTTTTTTAATTTTTTTTTTAATTTTTTTTTTGAAAAAAAATGTTTTCTTTATTTTGACATATTTTGGAAGATATAAATTTTTTTTCAAAGCAATCGTACTGCTTTAACTGTATAAAGACGAAATATCAAAGCGCGTAAGCGCCGCGTCGCCGTCTAACGCGTAAACCATGGTGAGGAACCCATTGGAATGTAAACCAAAATTATACTTATTGTTAAAATCTCTATAAAATATCTGATAATTTGATGTTCATATGTCTAATGATTATTTTTGACCGCCAAATGGCATTTTTTTTTACTTTTTTTACTAGATCTCCGAAACCGCTAGACCTGCCTTCATGAACATTTTATCAATTCTTCATCTTGTTAATACAAGTAAAATGTTTTTTGAATTATTAAAATCGGACTCTCCGTTCTCTTAAAAATTTAGTTACCGTTTTCGGCACTTTTTGCCCCTTATCTTCGGAACGGCTAGACCTGCCTTCGCCAAAAACTAATCCGCACGTCTCCTTATCAATACGAATCGAATGTTCTTTGAATTATTCAAATCGGTTGATCGGTGTTCCCGAAATCGTCGACGAAAATTTGTATCCGCACATACATACACACACGCACACACACACACATACACACACACACATACATCCATTTTTTCTAAGGTATGCCAAAATATTCAGAAACCTTTGAAACGTCGATAAATGCAAAAATTTTCATTTTCAATTTTTTTGCGATTACTATAACTTGCCCTACGGGAAGTTAAAAATTTACCCTTACAGGTGAAAAAAAGACAATATAAAAATATGCAAAAATTAAATATTATAGAGAACAAAAAATCTAATCAAATAATAAATGTGATATATTTATTACAGTAGTAATAATAATAGTAATAATCATGATATAAATAAAGAGAACGTGGTGATGTACGTCGCGGATTCATTTAGATCTGGAGCACGCTTTCAATCGATATTTCTTTTATTTTTTTACATTTATAATTATATTTGTATTTAAATTAAAGCACATGCAGTAGCATTAGATTACACTAATATAAAACTAAACCCTTAACCAACAGATAAATAAAAAAAATCAAGAGAAACGGTTTGGCTCTTCGTCGCGCAAAAATAAAATTTTTCGTAGTCATTATTGTGAAAAGGGGGCGTCCATTAATCACGTGAGGTTTTTAGGGGGGGGGGTTTAGCAAAAAATCACGAAATATCGCGTGGGGGACACAGGGGTATAGTAAGATGTTACGTGTATTTATTTTTAACTGATTTGAAAAAAAATCAAACGTTTTAAAAAAAATTTAAAAATTTCACAGTTTTATCACATACCCAAAAATACACGTGATATTTGGTATGGGAGGGGAGGTAATTTTGAATATCACCATGTGAAAGAGAAATCAACTTTCTACTCACAAACATACTTATTTAATTTTGGTCTCAAATGAATCAGGATGACTTGAAACGTCGAGAAAGCTTAAAATTAGCAGCTCGGATTTTTTTGCGAAAACATAAACTAGTCTTTCTGGAAGTTTAAAATCTAACAGTTATTGTCAACCATTTAATTTTTTAAAATGTATTATTTGTAAATTTCAAAAGTGTACTCAAAAGTCGTTACTCATATAACGAAGTTGTAATTCTGAAGATTAGATCTTTAATAGTCAAAATTCAAAATAAGAATTAGACATTGGACGTGAATCAAAGCGATCATGATTACAGTAAGCTTTTCTGTTAAAAATATTTAACCACTCTGTCATATTTTACCAAGATTGAGTGCAGCTTAACAAGCTTTCACTGGTGTATTTTTTGAACGATTTAAATAATGATAATATTTATAAAAATAATGTTTATCTATATATTGATAATGATATTAATTCATATCATTTCAATTATTTCTAGGACAATGCTCGTCACCGTTGGGAATGCAATCAGGAACAATTGTCGATAATGACATCACGGCCAGCTCGGCATATGATTCGGCAAGTGTTGGACCTCAACATGGAAGGTAAGATATCTTAATATTCTATTAAAATATTATTTAAGTTATTTTTTATTATCATAAGTAAATTGAATTGTAATTGGTCTATTGAAAGTAGTGATAATGTCAAACAACGATTGCAATAAACAATATTGTTCAGGTATCAATTTAGTGCATCAATTCGATATTTATCTTTACATATAAGGTTATAGCGGAAATATTTAGATACACATAGATAATTGTAGATACATTTATATAATTATGTAACTCACTAATGTATGTATTTATTATAAATAAGAAATTGTCGAAGATTCAATAATTTTTAGTGGTTCCAAATTATATGCCTCACAGCAACACGATATAGGGTAGAGCGGAGCACGAAGGTTAAGTTTAACTATGTGCAATTATATTGTGCAAAATAAACCATTTATATCATTATAAATAACACATATCAAACAACCATCTGACTATGTTTAGAAAACTCTAAGCTAATTCATCACTGTAGAAATATGTTTTTTTGCTGTTTATCAAAAGTTTATCACTTAGTCCTTTTTCCCTTAAACAGGTATAATATCTTATTTTTTATTTAAATAGGTTTTACAAAATGATAGCTACAATATTAAACTAATTTAAAATATAAATTTCCAAGGTACATTATTACAGAGATAACACTGTATAAAAACTTGATCTGAAAAAATAAATACATGTGACATCTTACTATAGAGTATAGACCCTTGCTCCCTTTGGTGTTATTTAGTGATTTTTTGTCAAACCCACCCACCATCTTTAAGAGTAACGTGATTATTGAACGCCCCCTAAGCTTTATACAGGTTATATGGAAAAAAACTTTTCAATATAAATTAAAATTAACGATACATATTATAAACCAATCAAATAACACATACTCAAAATTATATCAAGATCTCGTAAACTAAACAATACTTGAGTCATTGATTTTCAAGCATTTTCGTTTTTCTCCCGGTGGCATTTTCGTAAGAATCAAAGTGATGGCTAGCCATACAACTTTTGCCCCCTACTCTCAAATAATGTTGTTAACAAATTTTTTATTTTATTTTTAAGATATTGATGGTCGATCTTTTTACCCACGGGCCTTTGAGCCCAGCTGTATCATATTTTTTAAATGAGTTTTTGAATGTTCAATAAGATAGCAGCACGCAGTGCACCAAAAGTTTCGACTAAAAACTGTGTTATTTTCATTTTGTCATGTCGTCAAATTATCGTTCAGAAAAGCGCAAAAATATGATATTCACATACTTTCTGAGCACCATAAAATATATTTTGAACCTGAAAAATATCCTGAAATAAAATTCTTACAATTGGGTAACAAATGAGAATTGGAAATATTAGCATGTGTTGAAATGTTAGCAAATGTTAGTGTTCATATAAAGTCAAAAAATAAAACAATTGCTTACATTTTGAGAACCGTAAAATATATTTTATAGAAGAAAAATGTCCTAAAATAATTCTTACAACTGGGAAACAAATGAGAATTGAAAATGTTAGCATCTGTGAAGGATCATTTCAATACAAACGAAAACCGTAGTTTCGGTCGTCTATAGTCACCGGAGTGCTCGTACATGTATAATTAAATTCACAAAATTTAATATGTTACAAGAGGTTCTCTGAATAGCGTTTTCATTACAAAATGACGGATTTTCCGCCGGCTGATGTATATCTTATCACTATGCAAATGTTCCTTTCGTATTTCTATTGAACTTTGTGCGCTGATTTCGGATTTCTAATTACAAGCGAAATTTCTCAGCTTCGCATCAGCTTATGAATTCTATTCGAACCAACTTCGCTGGATGTTTAAACTAGTCAAATTATATTGCTGCACGTATATAAATTTATAAACTGCAATATTCTCGAATGAGTATATTCATTTGGAGAATTATTAATTTTAATATTTCTCATCATTAAATCTAATGGAATTAGAAAGACTTGTTATTTTCTTTGAGATTGCAGTTATTACTCCTTGATAGTATGAACATTCTTAATAAATTTGATTACTCTATAATGCCTAAATGTTAATTTATGGAACTGGCAAAAATAAAAACAAAAACAAAAATAATTACAAAATTAAGTATTACTTATTAACTTCCCGTAGGGTAAGTTATTGTAATGGTCCGAAAATCGGAATTGAAAATTTTTACATTTCTGGACGTTTTGAAGGTTTTTGAACATTTTGGCATACCCCAGAAAAAATGAATGTGTGTGTATGTGTGTGTGTGTGTGTATGTATGTATGGATACAAATTTCCAGTCACGTTTTCGGGCGCACGGATCAACCGATTTGAATGGTTCAAAAAAACATTCGACTCCTATTGATAGGGAAAAGAGCTGATTAGTTTTTGGCAAAGGCTGGTTCAGCCGTTTCGGAGATACGGAGCAAAGAGTGCAGAAAATAGAAATCGAATTTTTGAGAGTACGGAGTATCCGATTTGAATGATCTAAAAAACATTCAATTAGCAAATGTACAAGGAAATAAATCAAACTAGTGATGGATGGCATCGTGCTTTAAGGCAAATTGCTAGAACTTCCTGTATCAGAATTAAATATTCGAGGGAAAAAAATCAGTAATCAATAAATATTGATTAATGATTAATAACAATTTGAACATTTTCAAACAGATAATTATAATCACTATATATTTCATATTTCATAAAATATACAGTGATGATCATATCGCTCAAAACACTTTAGAAAGTTTACATTAGGAAGAGGTGCCGATTAAATTCATCTAACAATAAGGATATATTTCTTACGATTAGAATAACGTATTTGAAAGTTTGTAAATTTTTGAAAATTTGGAATTATCTGATAATTTAATGAGCATATGTCTAATGATCATTTTTGACCGCCAAATATCAACTTTTTTTAACTTTTTTCTCTATATCTCCGAAACCGCTAGATCTGCTTTAAATTTAATCAATTCTTCATTTTATCAATACAAGTAAAATGTTTTTTAAATCATTAAAATTGGGTACTCCATTCTCTAAAAACTGAACTATCGTTTTTGGCACTTTTTGCCCCGTATCTTTGAAACGGCTGAACCTGTCTCCGCCAAAAAACTAATCAGCACGACTTCTCATCAATAGGAATCGAATGTTTTTTTAATCATTCAAATCGTTTGACTCGTGCACCCGAAATCGTGGATGAAATATTGTATCCAAACATACACACACATACATCCATTTTTCCTAATGTATGCCAAAATGTATAAAAACCTTTGAAACGTAAGATTATAAGTATGTTCTATTTCGATTTTTTGCGATTACTATAACTTACCATACGGGATGTTAATTATGAATGAAAAATTGAATTTGAGTTGTTTCTTTTAGGAGGTTTTTAGTTCAGAAAAACTAAAATCATAAATATAAATACAAAAGCGTATCCAATATGATCAACAAGGTCTTAAAAGAATTCAATTAAAAAAATCCATTATAAATCGTTTTGCGAAGTCAAACTTACTGTGGGGAGCGGTAATTACCTTGAGGCAAGTTAATAAAATAGTTATAGTCGAACTTGTGAATTTCCGAATTAATCATTCTTGTACTAGTACACAAAAAAATACATATATAATATATATTCATCAAACCATTCATTTAAAATCCGACTTGACTTTCATATAATATCATACTAGTATATGATAATACCTAATACGAATTAGCTCTTTTAAATGTGCATATTACCCCATTCATCTTTCGTACGAACGTACGTGAAGCAATTAATATTTACTAACGATGAATACAAAACTCCAGATACACAACGAATTTAAATTATATCCAGAGGAGAATCATTAAAACTATCCGCGTATATACTCGTACGTAACCTGCGCTCGTATCGTAACATTCGTAACCCCGCGAAGCTTATGAACGCTGATGCTGAATTAGTTTGCTCAGATTCTCTAGTTGAAAATTTTATGTAATCGTACGAGAATTAATTATGTGAATTGTAATGGAGTAAGCTGTTCTATAATACAGCAGACTATCTTAATATGTATATATTTTTTGCATAGAAGCATATTTGTAACTATGTTTATGTAGCATTTTGCCTTAAGGCAAGTTGCATTAACTTCCCGGTTGACTTCGTCAACAAGAATTTATATTTAGATAGATAAATAAAAATTTTTCCTTCCGTAGGGTAAGTTACAGTAATCACAAAAAGATCGAAAGTGAAAATTTTTGCATATCTTTACGTTTTAAAGGTACCTTACCTAAGATACCTTAGAAAAATGGATGTAATGTATGTGTGTGTATGTATGTGTATGTATGTTTGGATACAATTTTCGTCCACGATTTTGGGTGCATGAATCAACCGATTTGATTCATGACTTAAAAAATATTCAAGACTGATTAATTTTTTGCGAAGACAGGTCCAGCCGTTTCGAAGATACGGGAAAAAAGTGCAAAAAATGATAATTCAGGTAACGGAGTGCCCGATTGAAATGGTTCAAAAAACATTTTATTTGTATTAACGAAATGAAGAATTGATTAAATTTGCAGGAGATACATAGAAAATTGTAAATGATATTTGGCGGTTTTTATCATACCCAATTATCAGATATTTTACAAAGATTTTAAACACGAGAACAATTTGTTACATTTTTTTTAGTTCCGTACCAAAATTTTTAATTTTTAATAAATAAAGTTTAAGGTTTATACTTTAAATATAAATTTAAAATTTACAATTTTGTTTAAAAATGTATATAAATCATATGCGTTATTGTAATCGTAAGAAACATATGTACATTCGGCATCTCTTCTTAATGTAAGAAGCATTTATAAGTGTTTTGAGCAATAACATCGTTCTGTAATAATAGAATAAATATATAGTAATTAATTTTGTCTTGAAAAATATTCAAAACAACTGTTACCAATCATTAATCAATCATCATGGATTTTTTTTGCTCGAATATTCAATTCTGATATGGGAAGTTCCAGTAATTTGACTTCAGGCACGATGCCAAGCATCACTACTTAATAGTTCATTTAGAAAATGAAGTTGTCAAATTAATCAATGCTGTAATATCTGATGGAATTAATTATAGTACTTATACAAACCTGCATCTCATATGAACTCTATTGCCATATTAGGTTTTATTGAGAAAAAAACTAAGAAAAAATCAATGAAATATTTAATTACATAGTGCTTGATTGAGCTTTGCCAAAAATTAAGCAGCACGAACACTATCCGTATCCAACTGATATCTTTCTAACAGCCTTTAAATTTTGATAAAATCGGTTCCATATTTTTGTGAAAACGTTAACAAACAAATTTGCACTTTTTTGCTAATTCTAAATAATCAACCCATACGATCGTGTCCTAAAATTTAAATTTTTAGGCTTTTGAATTTTTCAAATTGGTTTACACGTTTTTCCGTTTGAACATGAGCATCTCCTTTCAGATTTTTCATATTTTAACTTCCCGTAGGGTAAGTTATTGTAATCTCAAAAATATCGAAAATAAAAATTTTGGCATACCTTAGAAAAAATGGATGCATGTGTGTGTTGCCACTGGCATGGCACGATGCATGGGAAAGGTGCTGATCAGTTTTTGACAAAGATCGGCAGAATTGTTTTTTTTATATTTAAATGTTATAAAAATGTTCGTCATTTTTTATAAGACTTCTATGGCGATAAAGTTCATGATCTAAGGAAACTTCCTATTGGAGGTCAATGAAAAGTGGTTGTGTTGTACAAATTCATTAAAATTTGGAAAAAGGTAAAACTTCATTTAAGGCGAACTGCCACTTGCCTCTAGCTACTCATTGAAGAAGCTAGGAATATAAATAAAAATGGTGAGTTGAGGGCTATGGTTGATAAATAACTAACTACATGTTCATTCAGACTTTGGTATAACTTACATTAAGCAGACAGAAGTATCATCCATTACTTATAAATTGTCGAACCGAATCGAATATACTGTTATATCCTCTCCGTAATAGTCCAATCTCATAGACACTAAAAAGATATTGGCAAACAGGCCTACAATTTTTAACTAAATATTTCATAAAATGGCCTATATAAAGAAATTATGTCTTCCTTGTTATTTAACAAGAAATTAAAGTAAACACTCTTTTGTTGCTATTAATGTACAAAAGCCTTAGTAAACCAATTTTAAACTTAAGCCTCAGTAGCATTAATATTTTGTTATAATATTCTTCAATTAATAAATATATGAAAAATAAATACATAGGAGTAAATTATTTAAACTATAAGCAAAATCTATAATCCAATGTACTCCCAATTACAGCTTTTGCATTTTGCTGACGCGTTTATTATCTGATACACTCCGCGTTCTTCGATATATTTCGAAAATACTGCTGACTAGCTCATTCGATTAATTAACAATTTTGTGGAAAATTTGTTTGCGGATCGAGACGAAGTTGCACAAGGTACGGATTTTGTAATAATCAAGTTTGCATATTTTAAAAATGTATTTTTGCGTTAAATTAAAAATTAATAGGATCGGATAGTCTGCTTGCTATTTGCAATGCTGTTTTCATCTCTATTATGTTTTTTTGTATTCAGTAAATTGCATACATATTTCAGTTAATTGAAAATATGTTCGCATATTATCTAGGGGCCTTGGGGATTGAATATGCTTGTATATTACTGCTAGAAATAACAAAAAACGCAACAGAGATGAAAAAAAAAACGTTGTAAAGAACCTTGCACAGGCCATTTAAAGACAAAAAGATTAGGAAACGACAAAATTAATACAATTTTAATCATTATGCAGAAAAATTACTACATCGAGGGATTTGCCAATTGTTTTAATTTTTATTTCATTTTTTGCAGTTTATTAACTCCCAATTTTGAGTTTAGATTCGCATTCAGCGGTAAAATATACATTGAATAAAAACATATGTCGAGCATTCAGCCAACTTTTTTTGTTGACCTGTGTAATTATGAAGAGAACTAATTGTACATCTACTGTTATAGGTCACTGTGAATATATGTATATCATATACTACTATCAAACAGTTTTTATTATGGATCTATGCTCATTTTTATACGTTTCAGCAAAAGGTTATATTACTTGAAAATTTAATATTATGGAAAATTTATTTGCAGATTGATGTTGGATAAACAAGGAGGAGCCTGGTGTCCTCGAAATATGGTCTCAAGTGACGCGAAGGAATATTTACAGGTACTTTAATATTCCAACATGACCTGCTGTTTAGATTTCATAGAATATTCAAATATCTATTTAATATTGATAAACACACATACAGCAAAATAAAATATAAATTTTCGGATTTGTGATTTTATACTGTAATGACAATTCATAGACCTTAATGCAATTAATGAGACATAAATAAAAATTAAACAAATTTTGAAAACACTTTTAATTATGCTGCATAAGTTGTGAAACTGAATATTATTTTTCATAAGTGCCAACCAAATAAGAAATATACTACTAATGATTAGTGAAAAAGAATGCATTATTTTGTCAGAACAAAAACTAAAAATAATATTGAAAAATATTGAAATGTGAACTTACAAAGCAAGAACGTTTTACTAAAAACATGTCTATGATTTTTAAGTACCTTAACTTTATCATACTCTATTAAAAAAGGAAGCTTTTACTTCAGAAATTTGAAGATCACAAAGATGGTAACGTAATTATATACAGGATGTCCCAGAACTCAAAGTCGAACCGAAACAGGGTGACAGTATTGACCGCAACTGTCTTAAAAAAATGAGAATAAAATTATCTCACGGTGTTTGGAAATTATGAGCTTTTCGGTGCAACCTAGAGCTTTCATACAAGTGTGACATATTTATTGGTTATTGAGGTTAAGTTTTATCAAATTTGTTTATTTAAGCTTTGTGTCCGTAATCGTAAATAACACATCTAGAGTCACAGTAAAAAATTGAGATTGAGATTGATTGCATTGAGCCTTTTTGATGAAATATGAATTTAAATATTCTAAAACCGGACGACTTTTAGAATCCGTCTCTCAGAAAAATGCATTAAGATATGTTGGTACCTTCCACCATAAGTTGGCGCATTTAACCAGTATTGTAAAATAGTAAAATACTTGATAGTTTTATATTTAAAAAAAAATTAGTAAAAAATAAAAACCTAAAAATGGCATGATTTTTGCTAGTGGTAGAGTTCCTTACTTTCGGACATTGGTTGCATGCGACAAGGCAAGCATTTGAACATTTGCCATTTTTAGGTTTCTATTTTTTTACTCGAATTTTTCTATCATAAACTTTCAAGTTTTTTACTATTTCACAATCCTGATTAAATGCGCCAACTTTGTATGGAACTTGCCAACACACTTTAATGCATTTTTTTTTAAAGAAAGGTCTCTCTATGTCGGTTGATTTTAATAACTTAAATTAATTAGTTCAACAAAAAGTCTTAATTTTTTAAAACTTTGGGAAATTTCGTAATGTTTTTTAATGTGTTTTGACATTACGGATCTAATGTTTAAATAGATAAAATTAATAAAAAAATTAACCACAATGACCAGAATATAGTCACAATTTTACCAGAGCTTTAGGTTGCAGTTAAAAGCTCATAATTTCCAAACAGCGTGAGATAATTAGTTTTCTATTACTTTTAGAACATTTATTAATAATATCACCTCGTTTTGGCTTGACATTAAGTTCCGGTATACCCTGTATAAAGTAATGATTATAAATAATATATAAACAATATGATTTGTATAAAATGACTTTTACAGAAAAAAATAATAACTTGGCTTTTTTTCCAAAAATCAATTAAATAAAATTATCATATGATTTGTCTACTTCGTTTTGCAAATTTTCTATGATAAAAATTAGTTTGTTTTAAATTCTTACATTAATTGATCGATTCATAAATAATTAGTTATTATGCGATACAGCAGAATTTTGTTTATCAGGACCTCAGTTATACGGATTTGCGATTATCCGGACTACCAACCGCACCCACAATTCGAATTTTTGCCTAATTAATGCTGCAGTTAAGTATTTGTATGTAATGTAATTTGATAAACTATGTATGTACATATATAAGAAAGTGTTAATTTTTTAATAAAGCATTATTTTCGTTTATATCTATGTATGTGTTGTTACTTTTAATAAATACATAACATTATTCTTCTTACATTCAATTATCCGGATTTTTGATTATCCGAATGCCCATCGACAACAATTAGTCCGGTTAATCGCGTTTCGACTGTAGATACCCATTACATCATATTTTATGTACAATTGAATCTAGCATATTAAATGCATCGATACCGAATTTGGCAAAGTTTTAAATTTCTTTAAAAATAGTTCAACATATATCCACCTACCTTTATCGGTAAACACTACTTCATTACCTTGATTAGTTTCCGTATTTCAAAAAGAGATGCTTCATTACATGGCTGAAACGGAAAACTTTTCAAAGACCAAAGACACTATCAGTTTTTTTTCACAGCAGGAAGGCAACCCACGCCCCACCTTATACCTACAAATAAACCTTTAATTAAATCTTTCGGTGTTTGCTCTTGTCCTAGATCGAGTTGACGTCAATGCGGGCCATAACGGCGGTGCGAACGCAGGGCCGGTTCGGGAACGGGCAAGGTCAGGAATACGCCGAGGCCTACATGATTGACTACTGGCGTCCGGCTCTACAGAAATGGGTCCGTTGGAAAAACATACACGGGAAACAGGTGATTTTACCCTTATCTGTAAGTAGGATAAAATCTATCTAGTATGGCAAGGGATAAGCTGAGGTTTCGTGCGATTAGGCAACGACGTCAAAGAATTCCCGAGGGTCTTGTGAAAATAGTTTGACGAGAGAAAGATTAATGTTGAGGCATCTTTTTGTAGCCAAAAGGCATGTTTGGATTGTAATACTGATTTAAAATTACAAGGATTGAAATAAAAATTTAGTTTTCCGAAAGGTTAGGAGTAATATTGAACAGAAATTTTTGTCAATTAATTTGTCATAACTGTTGCGTCAATGACGTATGGAGATTCATCCATTAATTAATTTTCTTCTATAAATGTATTGTTTTCAGTCTTCTTATGGGAATTTATTTTTGAAAATCTTGTTTTAGTGTTTTGGAGTGATATCTGTTCTTTCGATTATATTTTATACTTCTCTCCTCAATAACCTGCTGTAAATATTTGATGTTTAAATCTCGGTGAATTGTATTTTTCGCAAAATACCAGGAAGCTTTTACTATGGCTCGTAATATTTTTGATTGTGTTCTCTAGATATTCGAACAAGATGTATGTATTTTCATATAAATTTTCGAATAATTCTTAAAAAATATTTTCTAATCCAAAAGACACCTTATTGCGAAACATGTTGTATACTACTCGCCATAAAGAAAAAGCACATATAACTTTTATATTTTTGTCAGAAAGTCCGGTTTCCTAATTTTATATTTTCACTACATTCCAAGCCATTCTGTATCGTTTGAGACAGAAATTGGAAAAAGTGTTTGTGCGAATGAAAGCCAAACTTTGAGCTTTTGTCAACGTTTGCTCAAAAACGGTAATTCATTGATTGGTGGTTTCATTTAAAAATAATTTTAATTTGCTCAAATTTGATTGTATTATAAAGTAACATACCTTGGTTTTTGACAAGAAGGGTTTATATCTGAAGATCAATATTGTAATTAGGCGGCTAATTGAACAAATAGTTTTGCAAATATGCGAATAAAAGAATTCCTAATGTAAAAACTTACCTTTTGAGTTAAATGTTAAAAAAAACACAAAAAATTTAAATTCAGTGGCAATGGTGGAAACAGTTTTATGGGTATAGATTTAAAGCAAATTTGGCACCAGGAAAAAAGGAGAGGATGTCGATAGGTTGTCTACACCCGCACCCAACGTGTTAAATACTTATAGTTTTTTGGGTATAGATTTAAAGCAAATTTGGCACCAGGAAAAAAGGAGAGGCTGTCGATAGGTTGTCGACACCCGCAGCCAACGTGTTAAATACTTATAGTATATTGGGTATATATTTAAAGCAAATTTGGCACCAGGAAAAAAGGAGAGGATGTCGATAGGTTGTCGACACCCGCAGCCAACGTGTTAAATACTTATTTAACAAACATTTGCTTCAACGTTTTCAACAGAAATCCTTAACTCAAGCTTTTGAAGATTAACGAACTGATATCTGTTCGAAAAACATCAGTTGGGAATCGTGCTGATTATCGGTTTTGTGAAGAAGTAGTTTGTGCCATTTGTTCATAATTAATTATTGACATAACAAAATCTGCAATTTCAATTAAACTTTGTATAGTGATATAATCTTTTTCTAAAGAGCTATACATTTCCTACATCTTAGTAAAAATATATATCCACATAAAACAGTTTTTATGTAACAAATAATATCTGAGATAATTGAATGGAAAAAACAATTGTCGATGACTAATAAATTAGTATAGTTGATTGGGTACATCATTTTATACTTCTCATGAAGCATCGAAATTTAAAATTAATATGACACTAAATCGATTTGTAATAAATCATCGTGTAATATTTTTGGTTCCACCTCAAACTTACTCTTTTCGCAGAGTTTGCAAAAATTTATTAATAAACAAGTAAAGAGTTGTCGTGCATGCACTTATAAAATAACACTGAGCAAGCACTTTTAAATTTTTCGAGTTAATTCAATATAACAAAAATCAAAGAATTCAGTAAGCGTTTCCATGTGAAAAATCTTTCAATAATTATATACTGAAACTAATGAACTGATTAAACTCTTCATTCAAGTTTCTCAAACTTCAAACTTCAAAAATGACATAATTAGCTTTCCATTTACTTTTATTGATCAGTATCAAGTCCGACTGGTGTTAATTATATAAAAAAGCTCGTATAGCAATTTTGGTCGCTCGTTTTTATAATATTAAAACATTGTGAGTTTTATTATTATTATTATTAAAGCATCTTAAATGATTATATAGTCCCTAAATATTGATTCTTTACAAAGATTATAATAAAAAAAAAATTCTTAAGTTAAGTTTTGAGCAACCTTCAGTAAATATGATATATTACCACTAGCATATACATTCCATTTTCAAACTATTTGTAACATGTCTATAATATTTTAAATTTTATTTATAAATTTTTATCAAATTATGAGACTAGTGGGTATGATTAATGAACAATTTATATTTTAATCAGTACAGAAAAAGTTTCTCTGACAAGATAATCACTCCTGGATCTATGGTTTCTTCGACAAAGTTTCTTTCATAGAACTAACATCATTATAATGACTTATTTACAGTTACCTAAAAAACTCGCTTGGAAAACTTTGACAAAAACAAACACGGTAATTAAACTTGTAATTCAAGTTTTAAATACATTGCACTATAACTGTAGACATAATTAACTTTCTATTTAATTCCATTGATCAATAGATTTAAAAACATTAAAAACAATTAAAAACATAGATTTTTAAACAAAAAACTTTACAGTTGTTTTGATTTTTTTCAATATATTTCAATCATTATAACTCCACGAGCAGAAACAGCGACTAAATAGATTTAAAATAACTAATGAACCTTTTAAAAAGAATTAATTAAAGAGAATAAATGAACAAAACTGTATTAATTTAAGAAATACGGAAATATCACGTACTTTGATCTGAAACTAAAAGAAATTGCTAAATGACAAACACTATAATGTCAAAGTGGAAAAAGTTCTAATCCTTAGTAGAAGGATGTGTGTATAGAAGCGAGATGCGACATTTTCGAGAAGCATTTAATCAGCTTATGTTATTAAACATTGTCTGGCTATGTTTTAATGAAACCTGAAAGGACTAATGGAAATCTTAAAACAAGCTTACTAAAAAAATCCTATAAGAAGTAAAACCGCAGATTTTTATAAACTTATGGGAAATGCGGAACGTTGCGTAGCTAATGCACTCATATTTTGTATTATAATATATAATGCATACAAACACAGGCATAAATTTATAAATATACTAGCTAACCCGACAGACGTTTTCTTGTACCCACGTCTACAATTCAAAAGTTTCAATTTTTTTAATATCCTTTCCTATACTTTTTAATATCTTATTTGATGTTTGTGATTCATTTATGGTCTTAGCATAAGCAGTATCAAAAATTCGGAAAAAAAATATAGTATCTGCAGTAAAAAACCAGTATCACACTTGATTTTACCACACTACATAATTGCTTCAATTTAGTCTATAATTTTCACAATCTCGTACAATATATTAGTTGCTTTTTGGCAATTATAATATCTAAAGTACATTTTTCTAATTAATAATTTAATGAACATTATTGTTTATGTTAAAATCTCAAGTGAATTAATTTGTAAAATCTAGTTCTTATGAGTACTCTTCAATCTAAGATCAACTTGCTAAATATTCCATGTCCAATGCCAAACAAAATTCTAAATCATTTTTTTAATAAGTAGAAATATTTTTTGTGTTGTTAAATAATTTAGTAATGTAAACCAAAATGCGACATACATAAAATTAAAAAAATAATGTATATGCAATTTTGGACTTATTGCGTTATTAATTAAACTGAATTATATAATTTCATCTGCCAACATATACTGTTGATAGTATCTTATATTATTTTAATTTCTGGTACATCTCATCTGCTTTTCGGCAATAATAATGTAGGAATTAAATTTTTTTTTTACATTTTTCTAATATTATTAAGACTCATAATTTCAGCTAAATTCAAATTTCATGTGAATTGACATTTCTGGCAATTGAGAGTTCAAATGTTTTCAATGTGAAACAATGAAAAGTGTTTATTTTGTAATTTTTGCCATTCAATATTACTACAGTTTCATAGTTCATTAGATCTTAAAAATTTTCCGTGACAAACTCTAAAAAAATTATCAAAATCCAATGAATTTTAAATATAATATAATATTTAATAAAGTATAGAAGAATTCTATATATAAGATAAATAAGTATATATTTATTAATGAATATACAATTGTCTGCGATGAACTAAAATTTGAATACATGCTGTTTACTTAAATAGTATAATTTATAGAAGCTATATTTAACAAATGCTTCATAGGATTACAAGATTTGTTTATGCACATAATTTTGAATATAATTTCATATCTGTATTTACAGTACATATAAATTTACACTATATGAATATGAATAACAACTATCCATCTATTACATTAGTTTGGATGTTTTGTTGCTCAAATTATATATTGCTGTCTGTTGTTTCCAGAACTCAAACTTTACATCATATGTCACTCTATTTAATTTTGAATTCTGTGGACTACATTTTTAATACCTTCAGAAAAGCTAGATGATCAGATAAACTTTGATGATTTTTTTAATTCAATCTCTTATCATAGGCAGATAATATTTTAGTTTGTTATTTCAGACTATGAAATCTATCGTTGTACAAAATTTCATCAACACGTTTCATCAAAATCAAATCAGTCAATAAAAAAAAATAATTACGCAGAAATGACTGTGCTGATATTTACCAAAAGATTTTACACTTTTTTGCTAATTACAAAGAAACGGCTCGGCCTCTACTTGCCCAAAATTAATCGGTCCTTATCGAGATACATCGAATGCTTTTAAATTTTTCAGATCGGTTTAGCCATTTTTGAGAAAAAGTCGACGAAAGGATCTAAAATCGGATCACACACATTCATACGCACATAATTTCTCCAAATTTGGTATGATCAATTTAGA